GATATTTGTAAAGCACTTAAACAGGGATCCACAAGTGTCTATTTAATTAAGTGCTGCACAGGTGTTCAGGAGTCATGCAAAGAGCTATGTGCTGTTACACTCTGTATTAAAATGGGCTGGTGAGGACACACAGAAGAGAAAGTGACACATCACTGAAGTGGGCATGAGACAGTAAAAGCATGAGCAATCATTAGATTATACATACACACCAAAACACTGGACTCTACACATATTTAATCTGTCAGCCTTGGCACTAAAATGACCTCAATGAGCTTTCACATTCCTGTGTAGTCACTGATGGTTCCAGACCAAACTGGCCTCTGAGACCTTGGGAAACATACGCTACCTCTGTCCTGGATCATATGGAAACTGAAGGAGTCAAACTACATGTTTGATCTCTAAGGCCCAACTCTGATAGACCCAGGAAGGTGGCAGCCTGATCCTTAAGAAAAATATAAAATGAAAAGAAGAAAATTAATGGACTTTTATTAGAATTTTAAAAAGGTTGTTGAGTTGAGACAAAAAGAGCACTGCCCTCCTTTCCCTTCTCTGCAGAGCAAAAATAAAAATCATATCCTATATAATAAAACCCTAATATGCAAATTGACCAAACGGCAGAATGAACAGCGGAACAACCAGTCGCTCTGATGCGCACTGACCACCAGGGGGGCAGATGCTCAACACAGCTCCTGCATTGAGCGTCTGCCTCCAAGAGGAAGGTCACCAGCAGTGGAGATTGGTGAGTGCCCGCCCGCCCCCCACCTCACATCCCGCAAACCGGCAGTCAGACATCCCCGGAGGGTGCAGGTCGGGCTAAGGGACCCCCTCCCCCGCACGCATTTTGTGCACCAGGCCTCTAGTAGAAAATAAAGTCATTAGACTTTCCCTCATCATTCCATTTGAACAGAAAAAGCAGGGAGAAGACCAGCACCCACATTCGAGAGCCCCTGAGGAGTTACCTCAGGTCTCAGGTAACAGACTTTGCGTATGAAGGGGGAGCCCAGCACACACTCCTGAGAGGCCCCTCAGGAAGATTCTTGTTTGTGCAATGCCATTAAAAGCAGGGCTGCACCAGAAACAAAAATCCACATGTTATGATTCCCTTTATATGAAACTAGAGGCCCGGTGCATGAAATTCGTGCCCTCTCGCAGTCTGGAAGCCCTTGGGGGATGTCTGACTGACACGGGCCTAAGCCACAGTAGGACATCCTTAGTGCTGCCGCGGAGGCGGGAGAGGCTCCTGTCACTGCCGCTGCGCTCGCCAACTATGAGCCCGGCTCAGGGCTTGTGGCTGAGCAGCGCTCCCCCTGTGGGAGTGCACTGACCACCAAGGGGCAGCTTCTGCATTGAGCATCTGCCCCCTGGTGGTCAGTGTGCAACATAGCGACCAGTCGTTCCACCGTTTGGTCGATTTGCATATTAGCCTTTTATTATATAGGATGTCCAGAATTAGGCAAATCCATAGAGACAGTTAGTAAAATGGTGGTTTCTGGGGACTGGGATGTAGGAGAAAAGGGGAGTGACTGCTAATGGGTGTGGGGTTTCCTTTTGGGGAGATGAAAATGTTTGGAATCAGATAGTGGTGATGCTTTCAAAATTCTATGAATATACTAACCACTGAATTGTTCACTTTAAAAACTTTTCATGTGAATTATAGCTTAGCAAAAGGAGGGGGTAAATCTACCTTAATAATGGAGGTTCCTATTATTATCTAGTAGTCTACCTTCTCTTATCAGGAATAGAGGAAAGTAAGGAGATTAAGGTAATTCTGTCAACAGCTCTTGATAACGAGGCGGCTGGAATTAGATTTCATGTTGCCTATTCATGAAACATCTGGTGGCCAAAGAGTCTGGGAAAATAAAAGATTACAGACTGAAATTATGTCCACAGAAAGCGAAGGTCACCTGGAGGAAGGGAGCACCTGATAAGGCACTGGTTGTCCTCCAGGAGCACTGGCCAGCCTTCAGCTGTGTGCCTGCCCCAACATGCCACGCCCTGACCTGGAGCCAGGTGCACCTGAGCCCACCCACTGATTTCCCAAGGCAGTGAGTCATAAGAAAAGCTAGGAAGCCAAATGAGCTTTTCCAAATGTCATTTCCGCACCCTACAGCCACTAGGCCCGGTGCTGACCATTATGCACAACCTGTGGACACCTCTATGACGGTCCAATGAGAGGAAACAGCAGGAGCAAATGCTGAAAGGTGACAAAAGAAGGGCTAGACATAGTTTGGCAGGATCATCAACTCCTTCTAGAGGTCACAGCAGTCATCTCACGCCCTATTTAAAACCCACCCAAGGCTGCCAAAAAACATGCAAACTCCCTACAACAACTTGGAATAAAACCCACAGTTCCTGTACCAGCCGCGGGCCGGGCCGGTAGCACCTGCACCTCTCCAGTCCTCCCTCACTGCTCTTTCCTCTCACAGAGCTTACTGAGCGCCCGCTGCCCAGGGGCCTGGCACAGGCTGCTGCCTCTGCCTGCCTCTGCGCTTGGCTGGCCCCTTCTCATTCCTCAGGTCCTAACTCAAATAGGATCTCAGACAAATACTGGAGTCCTTCCTGTTATTCTCTGCCACGGCTCCCTGTTGATTTTCTTTGGGGAAAGAAAATCACTCTCTCACTACATTACTTTTTATCGTGGTTTATCCTGGTAGTCTGTTCGTTCACAGAGGGTGGAGAGCATATCCACCTTAGTGCCTGGCCTATCTAACGTGCTGCCAGTGTCTGGCTCGTGGCTGGCATTTAATTTTTGCTAAATAGATGAACTTGTATTTTTAACTATAAATCTGGCTAGGGAGCACAGGGGAAGTGACAAGAGGCAAGGAGAACAGTTAAAGTGAAAGTGATCACAGACCACACATAAAGTTAACACTGATTTAGATGCTATTAATACCACCATGTTCAAGGGCTTTCTTTCTGGCAATGATACAATCACATGGGCTAAGTAATGAACAGACTTGAGTAGACGAACGGAACACGGGTTGCCTGAATGCTTACTGACTGGAGGGGTGGGGGGCTGTATGTTTTATTTTGTGCACATAGTCCCAGGTCTCCTTGAACCTCCCTCACAAAGCAGAGGCCAGGTGGACTTCTGGGCTATTCCCAGGGTCAGCAGGCCATTCCCTCCACCCCCGCCCTATTCGCCCCATCTTCAAGAGTAACAAGCACAAGTTACCGCTGTCACTTTTAAACAGGGATTCTCAACACTGACTGCACATTAGAATCCTAAAAATTATAAAGGATTGAGGATTTTTAAAAATCCCCAAGCTGAGGCCACATCGCAGACCAAATTACATCAGAATCTCTGCGGGTGGAAACCAGGCATCAGTATTTTTTAAGGCTCCTCAGGTAATTCCAATGGGCAGTCGGGGCTGAGAACCACTGTTTTAGGGAAAAGCCCAAGTACCCAGAGGCCAGCCTTTACTCAATTCCTGCAGAGTCACAGAATCTTGTATTTATTTTGATGGTAAAGAGTTGGGTCTTCCAAAAGGAAGCATCCTACGAATAAACACTAATCCAGAAATATTCATTATTTCCTGAATTTTTGCTTACACCATTAAATTTCCTTTATTCGATTTTTAATACCTTTCCAACTCTTATTAAGATATACGGCAGCCCTGACCGGTTTGGCTCAGTGGATAGAGCATCGGCCTGAGGACTGAAAGGTCCCGGGTTCGATTCTGGCCAAGGGCATGTACCTTGGTTGCGGGCACATCCCCAGTAGGGGGTGTGCAGGAGGCAGCTGATCGATGTTTCTCTCTCATCGATGTTTCTGGCTCTCTATCCCTCTCTCTTCCTCTCTGTGAAAAATCAATAAAATATTTTTAAAAAAAAAGATATACGGCAAATGTCATTTTGCCTCAGAATATTGAAGTAGAAAAGAAAACAAAATGTATATACTTGGTGAATGATTCTAAAATATATAAAACCCACTTACCTGATCTACTCAGAAATATGACTGTCTCTACCATTTCACAGAATTCTTAGCAAAACACAAAAACTACTTTAAAAAATGGCCCTGGTTAGAATTAATCCCGTCCAGGTCAAAGAGAAGCAGCATATTCACATTCTGTCCGTGCCCTTCAGTCACACCCCCGTCCACACACCCACAGATCTACTTATCTGTCCCACCTACAGGAGACTTTTATCTTTCTAAAGCCCCAGCAATGATCTCATCAGACCAACAGAGAGGTTATGTTTCGCACAACATTATGTACCAAATGGCACTGATGTGGGGGGAAGGGTTGGATTTTTTTTCCATGCTATTCAGTATTTATGAAAATCCAGATGCTTTGCTAACTCAATATAATTCAAACAGTGAGGCAGTACTAAGCGGCCACACCCGATTTGTTCTAAATGTGGTAAAATCTAGAGCACAAACCTGAAAAATGCTTTAAAAGCTTTCTTTTTAAAAGAGCTCCTGCAAGTAGACTACACAAACGGAAGAAAAGTAAAGCGTGCACAACTGGATGATTTTGACTGTTATCGTAGACACAGTGATATGCAAGCCATTCTGAATCAGGGTTGTCTACAAACTTGCTATATACACCATATGCCAGCAGATACTGTTAATGGAAAATTGCTATTCTTGTACCTCTTTCATTGATCTGAAAGCCAAACTAGTTTTTCTGCTTTGCCTTCAGAATATTTTGGTATTCCCATAAAACCCGGGTGGTGCTCTAGCGGGTAACGCTGGAGAGGGTAAAGCTCTTCTCAAGCCGAAGACTGACGATCTCCAAATGCATAAGCAAGCAGTGTCCTATATGTAGCTAGACTTTCTGGAGTGCCACTACATCTGCCAGATTAACATAGTAACTATTACTTACGTAATTTCAATTTAATTGTTCAAATCAAAACTTCTAAGACATGTTTCCTCCCTTCCAATGATAAGACACAAAAGGTGTAATAATGTGTTATCTGTGCCTTAGCCTCCTAGCTTCCTTTATTTTTGTCCCTGTGGTTGAGGAAAGTTGTAAAAACCCATTCAATGAAAGTAAAACCCACCAGCTTTCTTGGGAAGAGCTGCAGAGTAAAACAAAATTCATTTTTGTGATGAATAGTTACTAGTGGAATGCATGGAAGAATGAAACTGTACAATATTTCAAAATAAACACTGTAAAGTAAAAACAACCTCAACAAATAATAAATTCAGCTCCTCATCTGGTAAGATTCATTTGTAATTTAGTTTAATTGCATAAATTATTTATATAACCAAGGAGCTATATTCAGGATACATTTCATAAGGTTTGTTTTTATACCAGTATTAGGGTGTTTCCCAGTTGCCCAAAATAAGTGGCAAGCCTTTTTATTTATTTTTTATTTTTTTTAAGTTAAATATATTGGGGTAACACTGTTTCATAACATTATGTAAGTTTCAGGTGTACAATTCTAGGGTACATTATCTGTATACTACATTGTGTGCTCACCACCAAAGTCTAGTCTCCTTCCCTCACCATATATCTGACCCCCCTTTATCTTCATCTTCCTCCTCGCCCCTTCCCCTGTGGTAACCACCATACTGTTGTCCATGTCTGTGAGTGTGTTTGTGCTTTCTATTTCATATCCCACATATGAGTAAAACCATGTGGTTCTTCTGGCAAGCCTTTCTATTTCATATCCCACATATGAGTAAAACCATGTGGTTCTTCTGGCAAGCCCTTTTAAAATCAGGAGAAAACTCTCCCAGTATCTGAATTAACATTAATTCAGACTTAAGGAAGTCCTAACTGATGGGGCTTTATTGTCTATGCACATGAATATAAGGTGAAACACACATTAAAATGATTATCAGGGAGGAGGAACCAGCTCTCTGCACAGGTTGAGAGCTCCCACCAGCAAAGGCAAGAGGACTCTGTTGTAACACTTTGCGTGTGTGCACCCATCACAAGGCACACATCCCGCCAGTATAATCTGATGAAGTAAACATTGCGGCTCGTCATCAAGAGATCAAGCATCAAGTTAAGGCTCTGAAATGTGTAACCCTGAGCAGTCAGTGACTACCCTGTGGTGCTATGGCTGCTCTCAGGGAAACTGGGGATCCAGTAACTAGGGCAGCCCTGGAGGGGGTAAGGGGACCGAAGGGGAGGAAGGATGGGTGGGGGGGAGGGGTCACTTACGAGACGTAGGCTGGGTAGCCGAATCCTATCAGGTTGCAGAGGAGAGAGGCTCCATAGCCGAACATCAGGTACAAGGCCAACAGCCCGATGACACCTGGATTCGCAAGGAGAGAAGTGGGTTGAGTGGCAGAGAGGTACTCAAGCCCCAC